CCTCGTGGTCGCCGCTGCGGCCGCCGCCTCCTCCGTCTCCTCTTCAGCCGCCTTGGGGACTCTGCATCCAGGGACGGCCCTTTCGAGTGTGGAGAACTTTACTGCTAGGATTTCCAATTGTTAATAACGCTCTGTTAGCGCGCTTGAGAAAGAGAAGGTAGGACTCCCGGCGGCTTTCTGGTTTTGGTTTTGGTTTTTTCGTCTTGGTAGTTTGATGTTTTGCGCGCTCCTCCTGGGCCCTCGTGACCTCACGCGCCGATTTTCGCCTCTGCGGATTCGCGGACGAGACGAGACTGTTCGGCCAGAGCTCGGCGCGCCTCTCGGCCCAGAGGGACCCTTTATTTATGCAAAGTCGCCCTGTGCAGCAGCCCGACCCGGGGTGAGGAAGAGGGTGCTGGTGGGGATTCTCCCTGTCTAGGCACTGGGACTTCCTTGACTTTCGCCAAATCGAAAAAAGAAAATAATCGAAGCCTTTTGAGGTGTAGAGATACTCAGGTCCAGGCGTTTTGAAAAAAATAACGTTCAAATAAAGAATAACACAAAAAAGAAAAATGTCGTAAAAAAAGACTTTTTCGGAGGACACTTGTCTGGTGCGCTTTTTCATAAAGGAGAAAATGATTAACATGTTTACAGAAGAAGCAAAAGTCAAAATTATCATTTATTTCAACCTGTGTTTTGTATCATAATAGACATGCGGAATTTTTATTTTGTACTTAACTGCATATTCTTTACAAGGAGTATTGTAAATTTTACTGGCAATTACTATTGTACTATTCTAATGTAAGATTTTTACACTTTTTCAGAAATAAAATGCTTACTTTTCAAAGAAAAGCCACCAAAGTAATTGGCTTCAGTTGTTCCCTTAGTTTTTCTTTTCTATTAAGAAAGTTTCTATGTGGAATAGTAGGAGCCCGATGCAGAACAGACGTAAATATTATTTTCAAAGAGAAGAAAATCATGCCATTATTTTTTGTTTAAACTTCCTAAGTCAAAACCATTGCAGGAAATCAGAAAGTATTTCTAACTGACTAAAAATAAGTTACTTTAATAGGCATTTCCAAATCTGGTTCTATTCTGTCTTAAAGACTTTTGAGACATTAAAACTGAACCTATAGTTACCCTATAGTAATTTTGTAAGAATTTTAAATTTTATTTTTGAGCTTCTCACTTCATTTACGTTTCACTGTTCAGCACAGTATTTTATGTGTCTGCAAAAGGCTACAAAATAGCACATCGTAATGGAAGCATCGCAAGAGGCAGATCTAGTTGAAATAGATTTAATAGAAAATAATACAGGGCCGGGGATTTAGCTCAGTGGTTCTGGCGCCTGCCTCTCAAGCGCAAGGTCCCGAGTTCGATCCCCGGTACCAAAAGAAAGAAAAGAAAAGAATACAGTCATCAGTTAAAAAGCTTAAAAATTTTGACTAACCAAGTATTTGCATATATAAAGTTGTAGCTGAAAGCTCTGGTAGTGTTTAAAATTATTAGTTTTGAGATGAAAGGGATTCCAGTGGTTGCGTAGATTTTTACCGGAAAGAACAAACATTGAAACTGTAGCTTTAACAAATAATGTAAGAGTAAGAGAAAGCTTCAACTTTAAGAAAGTACATGTTTGAAGAATTAATGCATGAGGTATTTATTGAACTACTTGTATTTATACAGTTTGGGCGATGTAGGATGTCTTTTTTTTTTTTCAAACTTTAAATCTTTCATTACTTATTCCATGCAGTTTCTAGTTCTTTGGAAAAACGTGAGTTTTTTAAACTGTAGATATTAATTAGGGCTTTAAATAAAACCAAGGCATATGCAGTACATAATTTGACTGTCTAGTAGGTGACTTGCAGTGGAAATTAAATGTTTATTCAGTTTCTTTAAAGTGTGTGAATAGGAATGTATCCGAAGATCTGCCTAAGTTATAGAATCAGTGAAATCTGCATTGTAGGCCACTAGTTTACAGTAATATTCACTCTTTTCCCACCTTGGTCCTGGAGGTGGAACCCAGGGCTTGGTGCTCCTGAGGCAACAGCTCCTCTGCTAAGCTACACCGCAGACCTACAATAGCCTAATGCCCCGTCCATTCATCCCTTTTGAGGAAAGAAAACACTGACTCTCAGCCTCAAAATAAAGTTGTTGTTTTTTACCTGTGAGATGTTTGGAATAAGTTAAGAGATTAGAGTAAACCCACCCTCAAATTTACTACTATACAGCTACAAATTGAAATATTCTTAGACCAAAATCTTGCATGCAAGAGTTCCTTGTACCCTAGCCCTGCTGAGAGAGGAGATACCGACCTGAGAACCTAGGGTTCCCGTCGCCGGGGTACAGAGGCAGAAACAGGGGGGATACCTGGGGCGCCACACAGGGATACCTTTGGGCGCACAGATCTGAAATTTAGATCTGAAAGCAATTACGAAGACATCCAAGAACAAAATTATTTAATTTTTCTTTTAATCGCATCATGTATGGATGCCCGAAAGCAGAGAAGAAATGCCGACTAAGCCCTTTCTTGGCTCCCGCATCTTCAAAACGTGCCAGAAGGAGCTCCACCCCCCAAAACTGTCAGTGCGCTTCGGGATTGCAGGAAGGCGCGAAGGCGCGGGCGACCCGGGCTCCCGCTACCCCGCGCCCCGCTGGAGGCCTCAAACCTGTTTCGGAACGGGTGGGCACGGCCTGAGCCCCTGGGCTACAAGAAAAACCCGATCCACCTCCTTTGTGAGTGTTGCCTCCTGTGGGGTCCAAGCCCCAGCCTCGGGATCTGGGGCTCGCTGTCCGCTTTGCTGACCCTAGGGCCCGCTTAGGACAGGGATGTGGGAGCAGCGGGCGCGTGCAGTAGGGGCTGGAAGAGGCGCGGGTCGGGGACTCGAGAGCCGGAGCGCGGGGCGCGCCCAGGCGGGCAGAGCTAGCGAGCAGGTGCTGGAACAAAGGCCGCCAGGCCCTGGGCTACCACGGCCTTTGATGGGTAAGGACGGCTCCTCATTCGCATGCAAATCTAGTACTGGTCCCCTTTTCTTTGAAGGCAAACAGAGGGGTGTTTGTGTGTTTGGAGGGACGAAGCCTGCTTGAACAAGCCTTCCTCAATAGGCTGGGTCTCGAAAAATAAACCAGTTGGACAAACATTGGCCACCAGCTCTCCTCCTCCCAACTACAAAGTGTGGATTTGCTACAACTCATTAACCCGACGCTTTTCTCCCCTTCTTCTTGTTTCTCTACTCATCAGACGCCCCCGTTGAGCTTCCAGACAAATGACCGAAGCACAGTCGGGAGGGAATTGCAGTTAATAGGGAGAGGGATATATTGGGGCTAATGGTTCAGGCAGCTCGGGAAGAAGGACCACACAAAAAGGAGCCTCTCCATTCAGGTCTGCAGCTAGATCCAGCCAAATGTTACCTATTGCTGGGGTGATGAAGCCCTTCTGGGTTGAATTGCTCCTTGTACCACACATGGTGTCATGACCTTAGATTGTTTCTTGTTTGATTTCTTTTTTCTCTATTGGGTAATTATTTTATTTCTTTAAAACAAGCTTGTGCTTCTGCTCAACATCTCCATCCTACACATTTATTTAAGAACCACTTCCTTTCCTCTTAAAAAAAAAAAAAAAGAAACGAAGAGCTGCAGGGAGGAAATTGTGAGGGCTTTTCCATTTTTTACTTGCTGAAGCATCTGTATGTTTAATTATCTCTACTTCTCTGTCCCCTACTTAGTGGCCCTTTCCTGGCCAAACTTTCTGTTGAGGAAATTGGAATTTTGAATGTATTTATTATCTAAACTCTTACAGTAAATGTAGTAAATATCCATCTCAGGAAAAGGCCTCTGCCCTTCACAGTTTTTTTCTTTTTTATAAACCCTCCATTTCTTCCTGTAGCAGGTCCGCTGAGAGAGCTGGGGGAGGTGATCATTCTGATGGAAGGTGATTATTTTGACGGACTACCAGCCTGTGTCATTTATTAAAGGCTGTCTGAGGCCACTGTTTGTTTCTTCTCTCTTTGGCTCCAGTGGCTCTGATTTCCTTGTTTGATGAAGGACCAAGCTTGGAGCAGCTAACAATGTTGCAACTGCTATTGATAGGTAGGGGTCTGATTAATTCTCTGCTGGCTATACTTTTTGCTCACAACTGTTTTTATTACTGATTGAGAAAGTCATTTGGGGGCAACTAAAAGGTAACAAACTCAACCCAAATCTGGAATCAGTCCTGAAACAGCTCTAGTCTCATAGGGCTCCTCCAGGTGGGGGTCAGTGTGCATCTAATTGAGATTCCCCTCTCACTTCAGAGCTGGACTGGATGGCGACCAGCCTGGGGAGCAGAGTGCAGTGGGCTCAGCATTGTTCACCTCCATTCCTGTCTCTGCAGCTTATACAGGCATGCACACTCATTGCCGGTCAGTTGCCATTGCCTCCCTTCTCCCCTATGATTTTGTAATTAGACATATGTTTTTTGTTGGTAAATGTGTTTGATGTCACGGCGAGTGAAACGTGGTGTTTATAGGGCCACGAATATAAATGTGTAAATATGTTTAGTGCAAAATCTGGCCCTTCGACATTAGCAATAAATACCCTGCCAACTTGGATACGATTACATTTGACAGAAAGATGGAGAATCTGATCATGACCAGCTGCTCAGGGCTCTTTGGGGCTTATACTTTCCCAACTGACTTCACTTTTCAGATAATTTCTTTGCATGTCACATCTCTCTAATCACATCTTTCCCTTGATGTGAACAGCTTGGGCTCCTTTCTTTTTATTGTTGACCCTTCTGGTGTGGAGGAAACTTCCTGCTACATTCCTCCAGCTTCTTTACCAGGAAGATACTAGTCAGTGACAAGCAAAACACACAAAGAAAAACAGCTGATGATTATCATTGGTCCCTTATGAGTCCGGAGCCTTCAGGTGTGGTAGGATGGCTAAGAAGGAAGTACAATTTAAAAATTATGAGCTCCTGACCCATATTTGTAATCTTTCTTGTCATGAGCATAAGCATCCTTTTAAAAAATGGTTTGAACCACTCTGACTTTTAAAAATTGAAAATTTTAGGAGACTATAATATATATATACAAAGAACTGCAGAAATTCCAACAGCTTGTCACAGATGAGCACAGTACTATAGTTAGTGTCAGAGCAAGCCCACTTGTGCCTGTTTACTCTGGCGTACATTGGCTTTTTAAAAGAACTTTCACTAAGGGCCAGGGATTTAGCTCAGTGGTTCCGCCTCCAGCCTTGTAAGTGGAAGGACCCAAGTTCGATCTCAGGTACCAAAAGAAAAGAAAAACTCACTGCTGAAAAGAACTTTCACTAGTATTTCAGTAATAGTCTTTTTAAAAACTTTCACTAAGAAATTACACTGTGAAATAGTACAAAAAGTATTATTGACTTTATTTTACATACCTCAGATGAAATTAAATGACTTGCCCAAGGTCATAGCCA